GTGATTAATTTAAAATTACTATGAACTAGATGATTAAAAGAATGACACAAAAATTGTTTTCGGGCAGTTTAGACAACTGACTAGGCATTTAGCAAAGCTAAAATGCACTTGAATATCGTGTGTTAATTAATTACAATTTTTAGCATAGGAAAATTTAACTCCATCAATATTGTCTTAAATATTTTGCACAAATGCAACTGAAACCAAGAAGTGAACAACCGAAAATATTTCGCAGAATAATGAACAATTTGTAGTTTGTGAATCATAGACTGCTCTCCGTGTTTAGCATTTGAAATGCTAAACTGTGATAACAATGATGTATATATCATGACGTTCTTTGTTTGTTGTTTCCTTTGCCAAAAATATTTTATTTCTTTTATGACAGCCTGTATAAATCTTACGAGTGCATAACCTATATTATTAGTAGTGGTCAAAGTATTACTCGATATGTTTTTGCTTTCGTCTTGAGACTTAAATTAAAAATTTAAAAATGTAAGATCAACATTTGATACCGGGGTTTATAATTCAACTACTTAGTGTTCGTATCTATTATAGGAAGCAGTTTTAAAGTACTTTGTCGAGAAACTGCTACAGACAAGCCATTCTTATTAAGGATTCTATTCAACTATATACATGAAGAATACTTAATAACTGTAAAATATAATAACATGTAATTGCGGCTTAAATAATATACCAACAGCAATTTTCAGACAACCGACAAGTCAGGCGGGTGTCAATGGTATAGGCTACCCCCTCATTACCGACTAAAGCCTGTCTGTGTGTGTCTCCGCCTGTCTCAAGTAAAGTTTCCCTTTATCTTCAGATAAATGGTTTTTACATCTCAGAGAACTGGTTTGTCGAGTTTGTTACAGTTAATGCAAAACAAGGTAAAAGTTTATTCAGCTGAATATATTTTATTTTGTTCGTAAGAGCTACAAGAATGGAATATATTCGATTGTGTATTGTACTTTATATTTTTGAATACTTTCTGGTGCAGTTTAAAATGTAACAATGAAATATAACTGCCTGTCTGTATAAGAGAATTGTTGTGAAACTCGCTCCGAAAACCCAGTTTAATAGTGGTCACAGATTTTGTAGAATGGAACTCTAGCACAAAAAATTCTTTCTCGTGTCAAGTCGCCATTTTACTATCATAGCAATAATTGTGCTTCTAGAGGGCATTGTTGGAGCTACGCCACTTTTCCCGCATGGTACAAACTTTTTTTTTAAATTTTTCCTTTCGGTGGTAGAAGTCGCGCGAGTAGTCGTGGCTCCTAAATGTGGGATGTGAAAGCAGAGAGAGGGGAGTTCAATAGTAGTGGGTGTCGCACAGCCTCAGCTGCGGTGACACAGAGGTCTAAACACAGCTAGAGCTACATACCAACTGAAGCTGACACCCCTCTAGCACGTGCTTCGCACAGGTCCATCTCATACGACCAAAAGCAGTCCTTTACGCAAGTGTCAGCACTTCTCGCCCGACCTATATAAGCTTCAATCCTGTATACCAGCGGTATTCAGCCTTTTCTGTTCGCGTACCCCCAGATATAATTTCTCTTCAACTTTGTACTCCAAAAGTTGTTGGTGTATAATTCAAGTTACACATACGTAGTATATAATCTACATAGAAAATAAATTAAATCAATTATATTACTGATTATTCAGTGTTTATCATAAAATAATATATATATTTTTTTTAAATATCACGTACGCCCTAAGATGTCCTCGCGTACCCCTGGGGGTACGCGTACCCTAGGTTGTATACCACTGATCTATACCATCTAGTTTCATTTAATAAATGTTGAAGCCCCTCAGATCATTTACGTTCATTATGTATAATACTGTGCTTTACAACTGAGTATCTCTCGTGAGCGATACTTTACACGACAGATTACTTCTGAAATCATTCCGAGTGAGATGGAGTCAGGGAACAAGCCACACATATGTGCACATGGTTGGGACGTGGTGCCAAAATAAAAGGTATTTCTGTGAGTAAAAATCGCGTTTGTAAAAAAATTTGAGAACCGAAGACGCATGACTCTGAAAGTACATGTTTACGTATGAAGAAATACAGGCAAAGGAAAAGCAAATACGTTTTTGCTATATCACTGTTCACTTTACGGAAAAAAATTTCGCACAATTGTGTCTGCGTGTGGCAAGAACCAACCGTTGCACGCTGTGATTTCTTTGTTTTTATGCTACTGTTGCTGCTTTCAGATCTGGTTTTATATATTAT